TATTTTGTTAACATTATTTATTAAGGGTAGAATAGTCTTTTAAGTTTTCTTTATTTTAGACTATATATAGTCTCTTTGTATCTAGGTTTTATTCATTCAATTACATTATGCAGAATCAATAAAACCCTAGCCTCTTTTTCTTTTTCTCTTTGGATTGTTTAACAGTTTGGATCTTGCAAATCTTTTCGCTTATTTCCTAGCGAATGGGCAATCCTGTTTGCTGTCAACAAGCCCATTAAAAAGTTCCCAAGTCTACTTGCATGAAAATAAGTTGTGAAAATCGGATAGTGGACCTTCTCTTGTTCTTCTTGTTGGCCATGTTTTTTTAACGGGAGTTCTGTAGGGAAGCTACAGCCTGCAAGTATTCTTCTGTTATATTTACTTAACCTTTACTTAAATGAACTCTCATATTAAGCTGTGAAGCCTAATTATTGTCATCATGTGAAGCCTTCGGACCAAAATCTCATTAAGAACAATTTAGGAATTTCACTCTTGTAATTTCAGTTTTGCCCTATTTTGTCTTTTAAACAAGGAGCCGTTAAGTTTGGCGTTACAATTTATATAAAAGAGAGAGAGATCAAAGAAAATATGGTGTGAGATTTTCTCTTGTAAATTTCTTCTTATCATAGTAAATTATAGCGGTGGTGAAAGCTAATATAGTCTCACATTGTGACGAACCTCTAAAAATCTCGCGTGTTTCCCTTTTTCTTTTTTTTTTTTTGTCTTTCTACAAATTAATTTCTCTGGGTGAAATAGAATTGTGATTTCTAATTCATTCCCAAGTTAATTCCAGTGTGGAACTCATTGCAATTTTGAGTTTCCTTTGTCCAATTATTCACAATCCGAATGTGGGTTATATAAAAGAGAGAGTGATCAAAACTTTACAGAGTAAAAAGTTTGATTAGTCACTGAACTTATCACTTTGTCTCGTTTTGGTCACTGAACTTCATTTATCCTCTCACCGGTCACTGAACTTACGAACCAACCCCTCCATCCATCACCCATCATCCCCGCTATTTCAACCCGTCCGACGTGGCTTCACGGTCGCCGACATGGCAGTCGACGGCGTCAATGACGCCCACGTAGGACGCAATTTCAGCAGGCTATAAAAATGCCATTTCTCCCCAAATCGAAATCCTTCAACACCCTCCCCCAAATCGAAATGCCCAAGTCCAGTTGCCCCTCAACTCCCTCCCACAAATCGATTCCCCAAGGCGATGAAGATTTCTCCCCAATTCGAAATCCCTTCCAATCCGAAAACACCACCTGAAGCGCCAT